TGGCAGTGGTCTCGCCGGTAGAGCCGGTCTTTTGTATTCCCTCATAGTCGAAATCCTGGAGGCAAGAGGCGGAAGCGGAGTTGGAGTCTGGCGCTGCCATGTCCTCTTTGCCGCTGAAGTCAAAATTCTCGTTGGAGATGAGGTCCTGGAGGAAGTTTATGTAGCCGATCGCCAGGCGCAGGGTATCTACTTTGGAGAGCTTCTTCTCGTAGGGCAGAGTCGGGATGTGGGCACGTAGACCTGTCAATTGATCAATCATAAGGCCTCCTTCAATAATTGTCAAGTAATAATGTGAAGTGGTCTTTTAACAACGGGCAGTAATTATTGTTTTGCCCAAAGATGGGCTTGACTCAGTGCGGTGAAGAGCTGCTGAAGGATATTGTCAATTTCGTCTGTAGAAAACCCAGTCCAAGCTCGAAGCGGGAAGTCGTTGTTTTCTATACTGACACTTGTAAGTAGTAAAGCAGTATAAAATCAGTTACACTAACATCGGATATTATTTGTCTTAATTTTGGTTATAGAGCCAAGTAACTTGCCTGAGTTAATTGTGTATGTTCCCCTAAACAGCAAATGAGAACAGGTAGTGCCTATGATATAAGCGTTTTTGGGCTCAGTTCCAGGGATTACAAGGTTGGGGTTATGGCTAGACTTAGGGTCAAAGTTAGGATGAAGTTTAAGTTCAGCGATAAGGTTAGCGTTAAGATAAGACGGTTAAATTTAGGATTAAGGTTAAGAGAAGTGTGAACTGTAGGGTCGGGATTTAGGTTAAGGCTTGGGGTTAAGATTAAGGTTACAAATTAGGTTTATTTTAGGGCTCCTGTTAGAATTAGGAAAAGGAAATATCTACCCTGTCTGGAATTATGAGCCAGGCTACTTTTATTACTTCGGCAGGCGTTCTTACTTTCATTTCATTAGGAGGCCATGGCTTGACCTACAGTAAATTACCTATTGCATGAAATGTCAACCGAAATTCTGAAATGTATTGTTGCTTCGAACAACTCAGGTAAGTAGGACTCTAATACCGATTATAGTACAGCTTAATCCCAATACATATCAACTACGTCAGTATATCGGGTTTTGAAAGAACTTCTTCCTGACCACCTGCAAAGATCGTACGCTGTAAAAAATGGCCGCTTAAGTAGTACGAAAACGCTAACTGATTTTCTAATATGTATGTCATGGGAAATATGCGCCAAAATATTTCTTCCTGTACCTGCTGGGTAGCAACTCATTTCTGCTTTGAATTTCTTGAAGAATGCATTTAAAAAAGACTTTCTACACTGTGGAATAATTTTGAACCGTGAATTCAAGGTCTTCAAATTACATGCTGAATGCATTCCGTCTAAAGAAAATCACACATGTCTGTAGGCTTTGAGGAAAGGGTCACATAGTTCTTAGAAAATTTTGCACTGGGGGTGGACCAGGTTGTATACTTCATAGGCAATATTAATAAAATAACGGAAGTGATCCAATATGAAGGAACATCTGACGGCCTGAAAATCGCATGAGTAGAAACTTTTTAAAACGAACAGATATGCTTTTTTCAAACGTAATTTTCTACCAAACGCTTTCAAAAAATAATATGTTTGTGCACTGTTTCTATAAAAAGATATTTGAAGTTATACGGACATCGAAAAGCAATAAGAAACATGCATGCTACTTTAGTAGCCATTTTTACAGATTATGATTGTTGCAGGTGATCAGAAAGAAGCTCGTTCAAAAGCCGACATCCGACATATCTTTGAAGTAGGCTGCATGGTAATCAATATTACAGCTCTACTCAAGTATTTTAGTCCGAATCGAAAACACATTACAGAATTTCGGTTAACATTTCGTGAGCTAGGGAATATACTTGTGCTGTTTAACGTGACCAACCCTCTAATCGAAACTGAAAGCACATTTATTCACCTGTTTTTCTTCGCACGTTGAGATTCACGCAGATCGCCCAATTAATTAATTAATTAATTAATTAATTCTAGTACCTGTTTGTCATGTACCTTGAAAGTTAATATCGATGGCCTCAAAGTACCTGGCCCCAAAAGCAAAAAGTAGCTCCTAGTAATAAGAACTATTTTACCGTCCACAGTCTGCTGTTAACATAACTCGTGTCTTACCCTTCTCTGACAGAACATTCTGACAATTTAAAACTTCTAAACACAGTCTCTGACTGATACCCCGGAAGGGCATGAAAGCCTTTTTTGTTCTCGGGCATCTGTGTTACAAGAGATTGGCCAGCGTGTTAGTCCGCAGGTGCCTGCGTCTATTCGCATCAGAACCTAGTGAGATATGCACTCTGTCTTTCTCCTGAAGTTTGGCGGCAGTTTACGGACCCTAAAGGCACACCCACCCCCTCCAAGCAGTGGTCGATTCCATCGTCCGTCATGTTCCCTTACGAGTTCGGCTGGAGTTAACCCCCCCCTTCCTCCTGTCTTTAGTGCAAGAAGAGTAACCGCCCGTTGAAAGGCGTCCCGGGGCAGTGTCCACTTGCTGATGGAAAGACGAATGTGATTTAAGTCGGCCGGAGATTGGGCGGACTCAAAGTGGATGGCGTGGGGGAGGGGTGATGGAGAACAAGACGAGTCGAGAGAAGATGGAGTTGGAGTGCACATGACAGCAGTGGACTCTCAGAGGGGGTGAGGGGGGAGAGGGGAGGGACGGGCGTGAGAGAGCAGTAAGGAACCGCTAACTAAGCGATAGTTTTTTTGCGAATCGTAACACTCGCAACCTTCCTGCCCTGCGCGGCCTACGAAGTTGCGAAATCAACGTCCCCACACGTCACTAAGAGAGGACACTATGTACCCAACAATACGCATCTCTGAATGCTATATCAAAAACACCCCGCGCTGAGAACCTCGATATCCCC